ATCAGCAGCTCCGCGTCCGTTCCCTGGCCCGGCGGAGCGCTCCGCAGCTCCGCCCCCGCCCATCCCCCGCGGGCAACACACCCCGCCGGGCCCCTGGGGGGTTAGCGCCCGTGCAGCCCGGCCGAGTCCCGGAGCGCTACGTACCTTAACAGGCCTCCCCGGCTCCAGCCTCCAGCGCCCTCTGCGTGCCTGCTGCTGGCCGGAGGGGGGAGGGCGCCCCTGAGAAGCAGCTACGGCTGGGCCCAGGCCCGCACTGGCTTCCTCTCTGCGGAGGCCTCATACTAACGCAGCAGCTCACGCGGGGACCTGGAAAAACACAGGGGCCTGCTGCCACCTCCTGGGAAACACGGGGTATTGCCAGGCCAACAACTCCCCAGCACTAAGGCCCAGGCCTTCACGTCAGGGGTGGGATTTTTTTTTGGATGGGGGCGGGACTGACCCACAGAAAAATCAGTAGGTAGAAATAGATGTTAACTACTTATGCAAAACAATTTGCTTCACCATGTATTTAGCTGTCACATTGAGTATTTTTCTCAGACCTGAAAACTAGCTGTTTCTAAGCTCAAAAGCTTGTCTCTCTCACCAACAAATGTTGATCCAATAAATGATATTGCCTCACTCCCTTTATCACATTTAAACATCCAGTTTGGTGAGCACTCTTTGTAACTCTTCAGTCAGCTTTGCATTTAAGTATTAAGAACATAAGTGAGCAATTTTGCAATGTCTGTACATTTTGCCATCTCACTGTACTCCCATTTCCATATCACTTATGGATGTATTGAACTGCAATTGGTCCCAATAGAGATCTTTGGAAAATCCTATTATTTATGTCTATCTATTGTGAAAACTGACCATTTACTCCTACACTTCATTTCCCATCTGTTAACCAGTGACTGATCATTGAGAAGACCTGTCTGATCCCATGGCTACTTACTGAAAAGCATTTGGTGTGGAACCTTATCAAAGACTTTCTGAAAGTCCAAATACACTAGCTTGACTGGATCACCCTTGTCCGCATGCTTGTTGACTCCCTCAGGGAATTCTAACAGATTAGTGAGGCATGATTTCCCTTTACAAAAGCTCTCTTTACTCTTCCCCGCTGTATCGTGTTCATCTATAACATTTTTTATTTGCTACAGTTTCAACCATGTTGCCTGGTATTGAATTCAGACTTACTGACCTGTAATTGCCAAGCTTGCCCCTAGAGCCTATTTATTTTTTAAATATCACTGTTACATTAGCTATTCCCCAGCCCTCACATAGAGGCTGATTTAAGCAATAGATTACAGTGATGGCCAATACTGAGGGGGAGTACCACTTACTCGTCAAAAGGTTAGGTCCTTTGAATTGCAGCAGGAGAAGGGGTTGGTAGGCACTCTTAGTCCTTCAGACTTGGACCCAGGTCACTGTGAGGGCTAACAAAGGGGTCTAGCTACCAGGAGCATCTTAAGGTTGTCCTTCCTGGGTTACATCCTGTCAAAGCTTCATCCCTACTGTGGCACAATGAATGCAGAAGTGGGGGCCCACAAAAGTACCCCAGAACCTTATCCTTCTAGGCTTTGGTAAAAAACTTCCCCCCAAAATCTCAACAACCGAGATTTTGGGGATAAAAATTCCATTGCCACCACCAAAGTAATGATAAGAAAATCAGGGGAGAGATCACTTGAGAAATCTCACCCCTAAAGTAGAAACCAGGACACAAAAATTAACTAATACCAGGTTAATAAAATGAAAAGAGAAAGAACTTTTATTATCACCACAATATTCCTGTTGCAAGCATACTGACTAGATGGTAAAGTCACAAAGTAATATACTCATGGGCTACGTCTACACTGGCCCCTTTTCCGGAAGGGGCATGTAAATTTCACGAGTCGTCGTAGGGAAATCCGCGGGGGATTTAAATATCCCCCGCGGCATTTAAATAAAAATGTCCGCCGCTTTTTTCCGGCTTTTAAAAAAGCCGGAAAAGAGCGTCTACACTGGCCCCGATCCTCCGGAAAAAGCGCCCTTTTCCGGAGGCTCTTATTCCTACTTCAAAGGAATAAGAGCCTTCAAAGTAGGAATAAGAGCCTCCAGAAAAGGGCGCTTTTTCCTGAGGGTCGGGGCCAGTGTAGACGCTCGAATAAGAGCCTCTGGAAAAGGGCACTTTTTCCGGAGGATCGGGGCCAGTCTAGACGCTCTTTTCCGGCTTTTTTAAAAGCCGGAAAAAAGCGGCGGACATTTTTATTTAAATGCCGCGGGGGATATTTAAATCCCCCGCGGATTTCCCTACGACGACTCGTGAAATTTACATGCCCCTTCCGGAAAAGGGGCCAGTGTAGACGTAGCCATGGGGAATTCCACCATGGGCCCAAACTTAGTTGCAAAAGAGAGAAACCCCCATTTTAAATGCACAGACATCGGATCCCATTTCCCAAACCATAAAACAATAAAACCTAACAGATTTATTTAAACTTTACCTTACTTACAGAAGAGTGAAGAGTCTATTCTTGTAGGGAGACATTCTGTCTGTCCTCCTCAGTAGCTGGAGAGAAATTGCCCGGGACAAAGGAGAGGGAAAAATAAAAAATTCCTTTGTCCCAGTTTGAAATTCCTACCTACATTCCTATTGGCCAACTCTACCTGGGTTAGGTATAGTTAACCCCTTAGGCCCCAGGCTGCTGGACATCTCTCATGATCATGACACATCCTATCACCCCTTTAATGTCCACAGTTTGTTGTCTGTATTAAGAGGGTAGGAAGGGGGTCAGCTTACCATTTTGAGCCCATTTGTGGTCAGATGTGGTGTGGCCGCTCTCTCCCACTTGGAGGGCAGCTCTCTATTTTTGTAACTTGAGCCTCCAGCCAGGTCAATTCAAGTCTCTCCCTTCCCAGGGTAAGAATATAAGAACAGAAGAACAGCCATACTGAGTCAAGACTACAAGCCCCGCTAAGCCAGTATCCTGTCTTCTGTCTGTGGCTGCTAATATCAGATACTTCAGAGGGAATGAACAGAACAGGTAATCACAGAGTGAACAATCCCCTGTAGTCCATAAATAAAACAAAGGAAATAAACACAAGCAAACTGAGCTAGTATGCAAGAGGCAGAAATGCCTCTTTCTCAGGATCTATCAGACTCAAGTTCTCCCTTCGCTCAGGGAGGACCATCTGGCAATTGCTGATGGGAGAGATCCTTCTTTCCCTCAGCAACTACAAGTTAAAGATCTTTTCTCTTCCTTGGTCAGCCCACAAATGAGCTGTTCTGCTTTCCTTTTAACTCCTGCAGGGCTACGTCTACACTGGCATGAATTTCCGAAAATGCTTTTAACGGAAAAGTTTTCCGTTAAAAGCATTTTCGTAAAAGTGTATCTAGATTGGCCTTTTTCACGATCGGGGCTTTTTTGTGGAAAACAGTACTATGCTGTCTACACTGGCCCTTTTGTGCAAAAGTCTTTCGGAAAAAGACTTTTGCCCAAACGGGAGCAGCATAGTTTTTCCAGAAAAGCACTGATGATTTTACATGAGATCGTCAGTGCTTTTCCAGAAATTCAAGCGGCCAGTGTAGACAGCTGGAAAGTTTTTCCGGAAAAGCAGATGATTTTCCGGAAAAACTTGCCAGTCTAGACACAGCCCTGTAGTCTGTGCATTCCTTGAAGGTGTGGCATGGCAGGCGTGGCTGGGCCCAGACATACTCCCTCACCCCTGGCTGCCCAGTGTGCAGTTTGTATACCCCTTCACAGTTACCTACACGGTTAGTAGCAGGGGAGACCAGTGCCTGCAGGCGAATGGGTTATAGGGAAGGACACCCAGCGTGGCAGGGAAGGGGCCTGAGAGCACCCCATTTAGGCTAAGTCTACACTGCAAAAATCTGCTTAGTGTCCACACCTCAAATGCGCTTTTACACAAGTAAATCAGCAGTAAAACGGCAGAACAGAGGGCTTTTGTTGGTGTAGGTAAACCTCCTTCTACAAGGCATAACTCCCTTTTGTGCTACAGCTATTGCACAAAAAGGCACGTGTGGATGCTCCAGAGGGGTTTCTTGTGTAAGAAGCTCCTGTGGGAAAAAGCACAGGTGCTCTGATGGCCATTCTGTGAATGGCCATCAGAGTTTTCTTGCGCAAGAGCGTCCATACAGTGTGGACACTCTCTTGTGCAAAAGCACAAGCGATGCGCTTTGAGGTGTGGATGTTCTCTTGCATGAGAAGTTTTTGTGGAAAAACTCTTGTGCAAAAGGCTTCTTGAGCAAGAAGCCTGCAGTGTAGACGTAGCCTTAGTGATTAAAATTTTAGCAAGCGCACTGGGGGGCAGTGCAGCTCTTGAGTGCTACCATAAGTCACCTATGGTTAGTAGTACAGGCAGTCCCCGGGTTACATACAAGATAGGGACTAAAGGTTTGATCTTAAGTTGAATTTGTATGTAAGTCGGAACTGGCTCCAGATTCAGCTGCTGGCACTGGAACTGAGGAGGGGGTGGAT